CCTCCCTCCCTGGCAAAAAGGCCCAGGGGCACCCGAGTGGGTCCGTACCCCCGTCACCAAGGGGAACCCCCGGACGTTGGGGTTATGGTCCCAGGTCCCTATCCCTAAGAAGCGTAAGATGATTCTAAAGTACGTTTGGAGAAAGGCATGCAGGTGCGGCCTGGCAGGGGCGGCAGGGGGAGGAGAGGAAGAAGAAGAGGGGGTGGCTGGGCGGGGGGCGGTCGTGGATGACGTCCTGGTGGCCGTGGAAGGCGGCGTGGTGGTGAAGTCGTAGTAGTCGTAGTAGTCGGAGTGGCGGTGGTGGCCGCCGGCGCCGTGGCAGTCGCGGTGATTGTCGCGGTGCTGCCGTCGTCGAGCTGTTGGGCCCCAGGCGCTAGTGGTGGCGCTGGTCGTGGTGGTCGGCGTCAGGGGTCGGTGGGGTTGAAAGTGGTGATCGTAGTGGGCGCGCTGGTGACCGTGGTGGCAATCGCAGCAGTGGGAGAGGTGGTAGTCGTGAGGGAGGGGGTGCTACTGCTGCTGGCGGTTGTCGAACTGGGGCTGCTGGTGGTGGGAGCCGCAGAAGCAGCCAACTGCCCCTCACCGTCCCAGGGCGCTCAGGATCATCTCCGCGCTCCTGTGTTGGAGGGTGCGTGAGATGTCCCGCCAGGTCCGACTCAGGAGCTCAGAGCGGTCGGCGTCATTGCGAGAGGCACCGTAGCTCCGAACGAAGCTCAATGCCTCGAAGGACGGCCGCCCCCCGGTTTCGAAGACCATCGGGACTAGATCGAAGCCCCCCTGGGGGGGGGGGGCGGTCGCGTTTGTCCTCGACCATCTAGGTTGCTGCGAGCCCATCTCATTATGGTCGGGCGTGCCTGCGTGGGGCGTAGGTAGAGTGTACGCATGTCACCGCCCAATCGACGAAGATGGGTCGGCCAGTGCTGGGGTCGTGCGTCTGGATGTCCGACTTTGCCTCCTGAAGGATCCCAGTGCGGGGGATTACGGCGGTCCCACGCCAGCACCCGTTGTTCCGTTGGCGCCGCATGACCCGTGATGTCCTGATGCACAGTTGCATGTCGGTCACGCAGGCGCTCGTGCCGAGCAACGCGGGATTGGCCCACCTCGAATGACTTGGTATGGAGCCTGTGTGGGTCGAGGGCCTTTCCGCACAGCGTGCCGTCTCGACGTCGGTGTTGGCAGCGTGAGCCCGCGGGGCAGACCGGCGCACGGAGCCGGGACGTGAGGCTGACCTCGACTTGGTCGTCTGGTTGCACAGGGTCTCCCGGTTGCCGCTGCTGGAGAAACGCCCTTGCGCCCACGCCGCCGCACTCCCGGAGCGCAAGGCGGTCGTTTTCTGGGAGCTCCCGCAGCAACCGTTTTCTGTTTTCCCCGGAGACCGCCTGGTTCCACACACCCTGGAGCTTAGCGTGGGGCTCCTGGAGACTACGGGCCCAGTCGATGGGCTGTCCGTCTGTCGCCCCCGAGGCTTGCAGCGCCTGCCCGGCCTGGGCGAGCGCTTGCACTGTTCCCGGGCACCGCGTTCTGAACCCCTCCAGCGTGCTCACGTCCAGGCACTTGGCCACGTCGTGGAGGCAGAGCGCCCAGCTCGCGGCGTGGGCTGCTGGCGTTGTCTGGGCGGCGGACGGGATGGCGCACCCTCCGTCGGCGAGGCGCATGGTGGCTTGCAGCCTCTGGAGCTCGTCCAGCTGGCTCCCGCGAAGTAAGTGTTCGAGGGCCGAGAACACCACCGCGACGAGCTGCTCCACCCAGATGCTTTGCAAATTGGCTTGCAGGTGGTGGGTAATGCAACCCTGCGCGAAGGTTCTCAGCAGAGTGAAGTAGGCCTCGGCGGAAAGTCCGGCCCCTTGCAGTTCTCGGAGTCGCCGAGTGAAGGTCTGCGCCTTCTGCACTGCCGCCACTCCGTCTGCCCCCGCGTGCACTACCACCCTGTCTTCCTGCTGGTCTAACCATGGCGCTGCATTGCCCAAACACTTCAACGTGTCAACCTTGAGCGCGCGGATCGGTTCTGGGAGGTCGCTCTCCCGGTCCAGTGACCACGCTTGGGTTTTGGTCTGGTTGACCGTCAAGCGTGGTTAGCGTCCACCACAAGTCGCGCCGTTCCTGCTGCGTGGTCCGGGGGCGCGAAAGCCATGAAGTCGTCCAGGCAGGAGAACACCCTGCAAGCAGGCGGGAGCTGCTGGAGTTCCTGGGAGACCTCGGCCAGACAGCCCGCCACTGCAATCGCGAAGAAAGCGGGCGAGGGCGGGCAGCTTTGGCCCACGCCTGTGGCAGCCGTAATCGGCCGTGCCGCGTCGCCAGCGTCGTCCCGGTAGAGGTGCGTAGTGGCCCCCCCCCCAGCCAGCAGCGCGCGGTGCGAAGAAGACCGGGCGTTCGTGTTCGGAGCCCCTGAAAGATTCGGGCCCGCGGGAGATTGTTGCACGCGTTGGAGCAGTCGAAGACGAGAACAACGCCTCGTGGATTTGCTTCGGAAAGGGCGAAAATCCATATGCGCATCACTTCGCACGCATGCCTGGCTTATCTCCTCTTTGTAAACCTCGCAGGCCGCTTTGGCCGCCAACCGCCTCAGCACTCCCCCGCACGCGATAGGCCGCAAGCCGCCAGTCGTCTCTCGAAGCGCCACCAGCCGCGCTCCGAGGCTGGCCCTGGTGGCCTCTGCGCTCAGGCCCACGTGCAGAAAGAGCACCGCGACTTTGGCAACTGCGTCGAGCGCCGCGCTGTCGGCGAGGAGAGTGCGCCAGTGTTCGAATCTGCGGCCATTCGGGCCTGGCCCCGACCACCGCGGGCTTTTGGCCAAGCTCGTCTTCACTGCGGCTACCAGGTCGTCCACAGTGGCTTTGTCTGGAAGGTTCGGGGCCGCGCCTTGTGGCTTTGTCTGGAAGGTTCGGGGCCGCGCCTTGGTCAGCCGGCGCGCCTGCGGCGGGGCAGAGCTGCTGGACTTCTGCCTGGACCCCCGCTCCCGTGGCCAGCGTGGCCAGGCTGCTGGCGCGAACCATGGCTTTGCTAATCAGATGCTCCCCAACGAGCTTTTCCACGGCCTTCGCGGCGGAAGTTGGCCCAGGCGGCAGTCGCGCTTGCGACGGTGCTCCGCCCACTGCGGCGAGCGCGTCTCTGGCGAGTCCCCCCCCGTCTCCTGCCTCCGCCATCCTGATCCGGCGGGCAAGGGTGCTGGCCAGCCCCCGGTGTTTTTCGCCTTCTGGCCGCCGCGCTGTTTCAACGGCTTGAACGAGACCGTTATGTCGAAGAAGAAGGACATCTGTTCCGCCCGCTGTTGGGGCTGGGCGTCCCCGCGCGCCAAGGCTTCGAGAAGCGCCGTGGCCACCTGGCCCCGGAGCTCGGCTGGGGCCCCCGCCACCTCCTGGGGCACATCTGTGACCGTCGGCACGAGGTCCTCCAAGGCGTCGTAGGACACGTTGTCCCACCAGGCCAAGTTCTGGGACTGTTGGCGGTCGACCACTTCTCCCTCCTCTGGCGGCCTCCCCGGGGCGTCGTCGTCCGGGCCCAAGTGCGGGACTCCCAGCGCAACCGCCTGGATCTGTTGCCCAGGTTCCTTTCTGGCCCTCTTTGCCCAGGTTCTTTTCTGGCCCTCTTTTCTGGACGGCCTTCTGGGCCGGTCGCAACAGTCCCGCGCCTCTTCCTGCTGGGCGGACATCAACGCCGCCGTGCCTTGCAACCTCTCGTATGGACCCAACCCCCCTTCTATGCACCGCAAGTGGAAGTACTGAGGGTTAGCCAGTGCTGGGCTGAAAGCTCGAAGCTCGCCCTTGCCAATGAGGCCTCGGCACGTGATCGCCCGGCAGAGGCAGCCCCGGCGGGAAGACATGACATCCACCGCCCACGTCGTTTTAGGCTCCA